CTCTGAGGAGAGCGATATTACTGTGTCCCCAAAACATTTATATTTAAGGCGTATCTTTTTAGATTATTGCATCCTCAAATATGTGTGGTCACGCATTCTTCACTTAAAATTTCTCTCACTTTCTTGTGTGCACTGAAAATCAAGAGAAACATCTCTATTACCACCAACCTTCATTCTTTTTGGTGGATAGATTTTGTATTTTGTTTTTCTAAACAAGGGAAAACAGTTACAGTTCCACCTCTTATGTGCTTCCTCTCCTATGAGCTGTAAGCTCAGTATGTGCACATATGTAAGATTTCAAGTGCAAAAGAGAACAGAGTAGGAAACAGATTTTCACAGTCCCCGTCTGGATCCTTGTGTAAGTGCCAATGTAAAGCTATTCACTGATGAGTGAAACTCAGTATAATGTTGCCCGGCTCTAAGGAAACAGATTTGAAATTTTAAACTTAATAGGCAGATCAATTGGGTAGGGATTTGAGATTATTGTATAGCATTCTAATGACATGCAGTGTTGTCAAAAAACTTCTTTTTACCCAGGAATAAAATTACAGGAGCACAGAGATATACCTTTCAAAATGTCAAAAGACAGGGTTGGGGAAATTTAGTTAACAATAATGAAAATATATCACTTATACCCCAGGAAGCATACTTTGCAAGCATCTGGGTATCTCAGGGTAAAGGGTACTTTTAATGTGGATAGGGGAGGAGGGTAAGGTTTATGCTGAATCCTGGGATATAAATGGATTGAGGTGAATGTCTGGAAAGAGGAGGATTGCTGGGTGCAGGTGTGCGATTTTGGACTCAGAGGGAAGCCAAATTTCTTGGTCCTTGGTTTTTAGGAGCCTAGAGTTCGCTGTGTTGCATTTCCCTGCAAAGCAAGGGGCTACTTGTGGAATATGTTCTGAGGGAGTCACGCATAACCATTTCTCCTTTCTTCTCACTTACTCAGTTTAAATACAGGGTTAGTTTAGGACTAATTTCATACTAGTGCTCATGTAGGATACCTGTGTTGCAGACAGCTGCTTAACCCATTGGCCCCTAAGTGTACATTTTACACATATCCCTCAAATCTCATGTACCAATCTACTAATGGAATTTCATAAAACAAGAGACAAGTCCTTTCATTCCATACTTAGAAATAATATTTCTAATACCTAGTTATTTAAGATATGGACTGCAATTTAGCTACACTGAAAACTTATTGAATACCTATTCTGTGTCTAGTACTAATGAGGGGGAAAAAAAAAGAAAGAAAATGAACAAATAAAACTTCTTGCTTTCCCTAAGACATGAAAATCTGAGTGGGAAGTAAGTTCCACCAGAGTAGAGATTGCCCTATGTGTTTCTCCATTTTGTTCCCTGTGTTTTTCACAGTGCCTGACTCATAACAAAGAATTATGTTTGTAGGTAGATGGATACATGAATAAATGTCGTATCTGCTGTGGTGTAGCAGGTTAAGCCACCACCCACAAGCCCGGCATCCCATATAGGTGCTGGTTCGATTCCTGGCTACTCCACTCCCCATCCAGCTCCCTGATAATGTGCCTGGGAAAGTAGCCTAAAATAGCACAAGTGTTTTGGCCCCTGCTACCTACATGGGAGACCTAGAAGAAGCTCTTGGCTCCTGGCTTTGGTCTGTCCTAGCTCTGGCTGTTTTGGCCATTTAGGGAGTGAACAAGCAGATGGAAGATCTCTCTGTCTCTCTCTCTCTCTCTCTCTAACTCTGCCTTTCAAATAAAATAAGTAAATCTTTTTATAAAAAAGATATAATACAGTATAATGTTGACACAGAGAAATTGGCTTGGAGAGGATGAAGAGAAGTGGAGACTTATTGGGGAGATATTTGAATTAGATCATGAGAGATCCACAGAGGTTTTCCAGAGCTTCTAGAATGGTTTCTAACCAGAAAAATAAATGCAAAGGCAAGAGGGTATCATATGGCATGGATGGTCAGGAAGCTACAGATAATCCTAGTAAAGAAGAATATGGTACTACAAGAATCCTGGCAGATGAAGATTGTATCACAGAGGCCCTTTGTTGGTAAGTTACGTACCTAATTCAAACCAGGGCACATGCTGCTGGCTTCTAGGAGTGGATGTGGATAAGCGAGGACCAAAACAATGTGTTTCCACCACACATTTTTAACTAAGGTTAATGTCCTTTACCTTCAGTGTTGGAATATAGAAGCTAATTAAGGAGACATTTCTTAGTGTAGAAGCAACAGAGCTTGAGGAACTATACTAATACTCTGATTTATACACACACATATATATATATGCTTTTATATATATATATGATATACTGATGTTTCAATGGGTTTTATATTTTTAAATGTGCTAAAAGAGGGATGGCCACTGTGACATGGTAGGCCAAGTTACTGCTTGGGATACTGGCTTGCCATAATGTTGGGATGCTGGCTTGCTATATTGGAGTGCCTGGGATCGAGTCCCATCTCCAAATCTAGTCCAGCTTTCTGCTGATGTGTACCCTGGAAAGCAGCAAATGATGGCTCAAGTACTTGGATCCCTGCTACCCACATGGGAGACCCGAAGGGAGCTTCTGGCTTTAGCCTGGCTCAATCCTGGCTGTTGCTGGCATTTGGAGAGTGAACCTACAGATGTAAGATCTCTTTCTCTCTCTTTCTCTTTGTTGCTCTGTCTCTCAAAAAAACAAAAACAAATAAACCTTAAAAGCATACTAAAAGAAATTTGTATAGTTTCAAAGTGAGCTTAGAATCAGATGACTGTGTGATAGAAAAACCACTTTGCAAAGGAATCTGTCACTTAATAAAATGGAATTTTTACCTGGTTCCTTTGAACAGTGACTTGATTTAGGGTCTAAAATAGTTCATCCACACATGTCTTTCCAGAGACTTGTCCTGTCCAAATGAAAGAACACCCAGGTGGGTAAGAGTTTCCCTACCATACACCTATGGTGAGAGAAAATGTGACTTAGATTTCTTGCACTTCCAAATACTTACCTCACTTGGGTGGACGACTTCATTGCTACATACATACATGTTCTAGAAAGATTGACACTTTGAGATGTGATGGCTTTGAACAGCCCTTGTCTTAAATGTTGAGGAACAATTTTTTTTCATGCTATTTGTTGAACTCTTTACTTAGTATAGAATTAATCATATTTATATAATGTTAATTGAAAATCAATCTTAGTAAAAAATAAGAATGGGAATAGGAGAGGGAGGAGGAGGGAGGGAGGAAAGGTGGAAGGGTGAGAAGGGTGGGAAGAATGACTATGTTCCTAAATTTATATTTATGAAATGCATGAAGTTTGTGTACCTTAAATAAAAGCTTTCTGGGGGAAAAAACTAAGAAAGACCAGGCAGAAGAAGAAAGAAAGAAAGAAAGAAAGAAAGAGAGAGGGGGGAGGGAGAGAAGGGGGGAGGGAGGGAGGGAGGGAAGGAAGAAAGAAAGGTAAATTTAATGGAATGTGCACTGCGTAATTTCCTTAGATCAAAGAGAAGATCTGTAATGGAACTTTTGCTGTTTTTTTATGCTGCATGCTTTTAACTTTGTGGAGTATATTCCAGTTCTGAATAAGGGGCTCCACATTTGATGATTTCTTAAACTTAACTTTAAATATGCCTACTGACTATTTTAAGTAACTTTAGGGTTATGCTGAGTTGAAATGTATGGAATCGCTACCCTTTTGTCCCACTTAAAACTCAACAACTACTGTTGTTATTCTTGTTTTCTGTCTTATGCTTCTATTCTGTTAATTTTAGGATAAAGTAATCCAGATACAAATAATACAGTTTGGGATAAAATAACTCCAAAATAATAAGTTTGCATGTTGAAGTTTAACGTGTGCTGTCCGTTTGCTAGGGCATTTAATTTTGGAGGAAATGTTCTTGGCTGATTGTATTAGTTCAGCGGTTTTAAAATAAGATGTTTGAGGGGAGGGGTGTGGAATCTTCAGTCATTGATTCTCTTTATAACTTTGCCCTTTTAGCTGGAACAGATTACTTGTGTAGTGCTTCTAGCCCTGCACAGACTGAATCACAAGGAAGAAACTTTACATAAACCATTTATACTAAATGTTTGGTATGCTGGCAACATAAATCAACAACAATATCCATTACAAATTCATCCCTTTATCAGTATTATCTTGATAGAACTGATCCCAATGTGTGGGAATTTGAACCCTGCCTCAATACATCTAGCCCTGGATAATTAATTATTCAGGGCACAGAGAACCTGGCCCCTGCAATGTAGAGTAATTCTTCCTGGTCAGCGTTAACTCCACTGGCAATAATAAATAGAAAAAGTCTCTGGTGATGCCAGTATTTTAAAGTGATTAATCATCTTTCCACCCTTCTCCTCCCCCTTAGTTTTCTTTAACTAGAATTTTTCAGCAATAAATCTTTAACAATACAGGTAGGAATTGTTCTGTAATTAAATTTTGCCCTGCTTAATTTCTTACCTTTTATGTGAATTAAAAAAAATGTTACATTTTAAGGAGCCCTGATCAAAATTCAAACCAAGAAAAATCCTTTTATAAATACAGAAAGAGTCTCTATGGAAGATTAAGCTCTTGATTTTGAATGTTAGATAGAGCACATACTCATAAAAATTGTTCGTCAACACCAGTTGGGGTGTCAAATATTCTGAAGTTTTGAATGACTTCACTTTCATGCTTACGATTTGTCTGTATTAGGAAAAGTCTGACATATACATATGTTCCAACACGGAGAGAATAATTACTTATTTCTTAAGTATAATTGATGTTAGCTCTGTAGGAAAGAGATATTTTTCACCATTTTTTGTGATACACAAAAGATACTTGCTGAAGTAGCAGGTGAATGCCTGAGTGAGAAAGACCATGTATTTTTAAATTGTGCCCCGTAGAGCTGCCCAACCATCACATAGATTCTGGGTGACAGGGACAGATGTGACATATCTGTTGTGACATACTTCTGTACCACCAGTGTGTGGCTCGAGGTGACTCCTGTCCCTCCCCTGATGCTTTCTCTGCTGCAGGACAGCACAACGATGCGCGGATGAACCTTGCCATTGCACTCACTGCTGCCAGGTATGGGGCTGCCACAGCCAATTACATGGAGGTAGTGAGCTTGCTCAAGAAGACAGACCCCGAGACAGGCAAAGACTGTGTGCGCGGAGCCCGGTGCAAGGATGTCCTCACAGGTACGCCGAGTCTGCCAGGGAGGCATGTCCCAGCGTCTTGCCTTGCTTATACAATGACTGAATTGTAATTTTTCTGTCACTTGTCTTTCATTTGAGGCAGGCTTCAGAGTCATATTAATTATATTCCTTATTGTCAACAATGACTGGTTTAACATGAAAATTTTCCCTTGTGGGACTTGGGCAATTTTCACCCTTTGTGTTAAATACTAGTAATGATAATGATAATAATAAATGGCCACAAAATTCCCACAGCTGTGAATGCATTCCATTTTCCTTACAAAAACATGTGATTAATAAAATTAAATAAATGTGCCAAGTTTCACAGTATCATTTAGGTGACACAGGCAGTGCATTGACACATTGTTAAAGTCAATCATTTATAACTTCTGTTGGATTTTCTTTCTGGCCTTGATACGATGGTCAGATAGCCAATTTCACAATTACATCCTTTCTTGAAGAACACCAGCACTGAGAATTATATTGTCTAATGGCAACACTGTTTACAAATGTGAGTTTTATGGAGAAAGCATGGCTTATTTACTTAGTCTGCTTGGTAAGTTGACTGAGAACCACAGTGGACAAGTGGCATGCCTTTATTTCTTCAATTCAGACTTGTTTTTGGTGAATCGACTCACATGTGGGCCTTTTGTTTGGCTCTTCGAAAACTCTAGCTGAGCATGTCACTTAGTGTGGTATGCAATAGACTGCACCATAGGTTAAGTTAATAGGTGATTTAATAATCCACATCACTGGTGAACAGAGAAACAAATGGGCGGTGTGATTGATGCTGCTGTTTTTCACAGGGCAGGAATTTGACGTGAGAGCCAAATGTGTTATCAACGCCACAGGACCTTTCACAGACTCTGTGCGCAAAATGGATGATAAGAACGCTGCAGCCATCTGCCAGCCGAGTGCTGGTGTCCATATTGTGATGCCTGGTTATTACAGGTAACTGTCTTCCAGCTTGGTCGTTGCTACCCAACAGAGATGCACAAGAGACTGTCTATGTTCAAATTCTTCCTGTAGCACAACTTTCTTATTAAGAGTCTGACTTGCTGTTCAAAATGAGGAGAAACAAGGAGAAACTCTTCCACAACACAAAATACAAAGTAGAATTGGGAATTCGCTAGCTACTTAAGGCAACACTTCTTTCGAAGGATTAATGATTGGAACCTGTGCATTTTGTACTTTGTTCAGTGTACTCACCTTTAGAGACTAAGCGTTGGTACTTTTTGAAACATATTTTTAAGTAAAACATTTTAAACATTTTTGCGAAATATACAAATATGCTCATGAAGAATCTGAAAGTGTGGGCCACTGCTCAGGTACTCTTAGGTTTATAATTCTTGAAGTGATGTTTTTAAAACTATTATTGCAGGTGCTAATTTCTAACCCATTGAATTAACAGAGGTAAATGTGAATGGAGAAATAGATAGGCGTAGAGATGAAATAAGAATAACTGTTGCCTGAAAGCCATTCAAGCTGAGTGATGGGTACATGCAGGTTCACTAAACTCTATTTTTGTATGTGTTTGAAACTGAAAAAAGAACATTTATGTGGTTCTAGCTAAAAATTATCGATGATTACCTTTAATCTATCTTTAAAGACATCTGTGGGAAAAATTCAGGTGCTTATGGTAAGAGTTTGGAACATGTGTACTGTTTGTTTTTTCTATGTATAGTCAATCTAGTGGGCAAACCAGAAATTCCATATGAAATAATGATCTACGTGCAAAGGTATTCATTATTTGCAATTGAAAAAGATTAGCCCATGGAATGGAAACGGTAGGGCCCTGGCAAAGCCTCCAGCGTCCCCCTCACCAAAACCAAGTGACCTGCTCCTTGGACTCTGCTGTTCCCTCACACTAGGGTCCCTTCTAGGGCGTCAGCTGGGGGCTGCTCTTGGTCTCGTTTTTGTTCAAAGAGCCCCTGGCTTCTTCACTCAAGCCCTGTGAGAACTGAGCACCCTCGTGGGGTTCAGGGCTTCCCCACAGGGAACTCTGCAGAACAGTGGCACCATGCTGGCCTGAACCAAACAAAGGAAGGAGCCCAGGCCTCTGACCTGACCCTCCTCAGGCAGCCACTGTTGGAAGCCACCTCGGGCCTGGCCCCACTGTCTGCCATCAGGGCCTCCTGGCTGCTGTGTTTCAAAGACGACTTTTGCCTCTGCGCTTGACCTCACAGATGCCAGTCTCCGTGCAGGGAGAGAACCAGGCAGGAAGGAGGCCTCAGTGCCAGGTCAGTGCCCATGTCAAGCTCGTTTCCCCTGCGTGCCTGTTGCTGAAGATGCTGGCTTGGAAGGCCGGCCCACACCAAGCTACTTCAACTCCCAGGTTCATGGAAGATTCCAGGCCTTGCCTGCAACTCCTTTCCAACCGCCACTGCACCCCCTGCTTGCTGGCTCTCGGAAGCCCAGAGGTGGGTGTCCTTGTGGGCTTGGATTTTCCCCAGGGATGACCAGCATTTGACCAGCCTAAAGGCCCAGGGCCTGGGGCAGCTTCACTGGTTGCAGTCTAGAAGCAGGAGAGGACCTCACTGTCTGGTCAGGGGAGGGGCAGGAGTGGTTTTGGCCAGCACCCACCCCACGTCCACACACCAGAGGAGACCCAAGGCCTCCGTCTTGCCTTGCTTGCAGGGTGGGGCCGGGCCTGCAGACGGACTGCTCCTAGAGGCTGTTCAGGACAAGTTCACTCAATTAAACTCAAAAGTACTGACTGGCAGGCAGGTGCCCTCTGCGAATGGAGGCAGAAGCTTCACCTTTCTGTCTTGGCTTTTCTTTGAGCTGTGGGGGGGCATCCATTTCCAGGGTAGGGGAGGAAATACTAAATGAATTGTTCTATTCAATCCATCTCACTTGTTTCTAATAAAGGAAGCAGCTGAACAAAAGAAAGAAAGAAAGAAAGAAAGAGAGAGAGAGAGAGAGAGAGAGAAAGAAAGAAAGAAAGAAAGAAAGAAAGAAAGAAAGAAAGAAAGAAAGAAAGAAAGAAAGAGAAAGAGATTAGAAACCATCTCAGATCCTCACCTCACTTCAGGGGCTTATAGAATAAATCATGGCATATCCATACAAAAGAATATTGTGTAGTCAGTAAAAGTTATAATTACAAATGACTTTAATGTCCCACAAAACGTTAATAATACAGTGTTCCTTTAGAATCTAGGACTCAAAATTTTATGTGCAGTAAGATTATGTATGTTGTAGGATCTAAACATTATATGTAGAAAAAGACTGGAAAGAAATGTGTTAAATGCTGATGGTGATTATCTCTAGGCAAGCTGATTATGGGAATGACTTCCTTTCATATTTTAATAATTTTTCATAAAGGACAAATAATTGGGTCTTAAATATTTGAAACAGATGTGCAGAAATTGTGATATTTTCTATAGTATCTGTCTTCTAGAATCTTATCCTGCTGTGTTATAAATAATGCTGCCTCATTAATTAGTTTTCTAGTGACAAAATTTTTCCAAAAAGCATCCAAGATGTACCTAATTTGTACCAAATACACTTCTACTGAGAATATATTGAAGATAATTTCTTTTTTCTCTTATTTTATTTTTTAAAATTTTTGGCTAACATGTTAACCTTTGTCCATTTTTATGCAGTACAGTATTTCAATACGTGCACATTGAATAAACCAATCAAATCAGGCAACCAGGCTTTCCATTTCCTTATTTATTTTTCTGCTTGAGGCTAAAAATAATTTTTTTACCCACCAATTCCCAAAGTTTTCTTCTCATTTTCTTTTTTTTTTTTAAAGATTATTTTATTTATTTGAAAGAGTTACGGGGTATGAGAAGAGAGAAAAAGAGAGAGAGAGAATCTTCCATCCGTCAGTTCAGTCCCCAAATAGCCATGACTGCCAGGGCTGAGCCAGGAGTCTGGAGCTTCTTCTGGATCCCCCACATGGGTACAGGGGCCCAAGGACTTGGGCCATCCTCTGCTGGTTTCCCAGGTGCATTAGCAGGGAGCTGGATCAGAAATAGAGTAGCCAGGATTTGAACCAGCACCCATATAGGATGGCAGCATTGCAGGCAGCAGCTTAACATGTTATACCACAATGCCAGCCCCCTCTTCATTTTCTTAATGTCTACATGAGCTAGGTAGACAGTGCTTAGTATTTTTACTTTGCATAGGTAACACCAAGATGCCTGTAGTCATTGTATAATGGTGTAGTGGTACCTAGTTGAGTTTTAAAAACTGTTATCCAGAAGTTCAGTTCAAATGAAAAAGATTAAATAACTGTAACTTTCTCGTATGTTTCTTGTATGGAGAAATTTTCAACAGTAGTTTCTATAATATACACTTATTTGTGTTTTTTATTGTGTTGGATTAAAAATATCCATGGCCAGCTAGTTTGTAAGGTATAAGGCTTTTTAAAATTTGTATATAATTGTCTATAAGAATACAATACAGATGTAATCACCATAATCCTTTTATTTGTTTTGATTTTCTATATTCAACATATTTGCTTGTGTGTTGTATCTCATATTTTCTTCATTATTGTCCAATGATATCAGAAGACACATTTCCCAAGGTTTTATGTTAATTCTATTGTTAAATAATGACATCCATTGGAATAAGCCATCTTATATTGTGACCCTAGTTTTCCTATAATTAAGATGGTAAATATTCTGCTCTTTCAGAGTACATAGACTAGTGGACAACACATAGAACAAGTTGAGCTGATACCTGGGCATAGAACTTCTTGGGTTTGTTCAGTACTTCTTGCTATTATGTGACTTTGGGCAAGCTGTTTGTTTCAACTCTGATTCTTCATCTCCTGATGTACCTAACATTTTGAAAGTTCAAACAATGAACCTTTGATTAGTTTGTATCTGTCTTATGACTGCTGTTCTCAGCTGTTGGCACAGGGTCTGGCACAGGATAGTGCCCAATAAAGATCTTTGAGTGAATCTTACTTTTTCGTGTCAACTTGCCCAAAATGATATTGTTGCCTTTTCTGTATTAAAATTTTAATGTAATATTTAAGAGACTTTTAAATATAGAGAATTTAAAATATGAAAACAAAATGTGACTCTTCATCTTGCCCACATAATAACTGTAACAAAAATAAATACTTATAGATAAAAATAATGTAAAGGCATGATCAGAAATCTCAACTACTAAGGAAAAATAGGATAGAAAAAGAAAAGCCTTCCCTGTCTTTTCTCTTCCCCCAAATTCTTCTGTAGTAAATAGTAACCTTTTCTTCCAATTCTTGCCATAGAATTTTGTTTTTATTTGCACAAAAATAAACCCTGTTAAAACTTTGCAAGAAAGTCTGCTACAGACTATGCTTTGTGCATTTAATAATAGAGTGATGGGGTATCTTAGGTCTAAATATATATATATATATATATATATTTACCTGAATATAATATTTTCAGATCAAAATACTTTCCTTTTTTAAAAAACTTATCTTTTAAGTCAATACATCTTATTTATTTGAAAGGCAGAGTAACAGAGAGATAGAGATAGAGAGAAAAAGAGAGAGAGAGAGAGAAAGATCGATCTCTGGTTCACTGCCCAATGACCATAATGGGAAAGACTGAGCCAGGCTGAAGCCAGGAGCCTGGGACTCCATGTTGTCTCCTACATGTGTATAGAGGCCCAAGTACTTTGGCTATCATTTGCTGCTTTCCCAGGTACATTAGCAGGGAGCTAAATTGGAAGTAGATCAGCCAGAAATATTACTAGTGCTCTAATATGGGCTGGTTTGCAAGCAGCAGCCTAACCCACTGTGCCACAGTGCCAGCCCTAAATACCTTTCTTAATCCTAAAAATTTGGCATTAGTTTCAGGCTCCCTCCCCATAAATCATGAAAATGCAAGTCACAGCTAGTTCTGTCTCAGTACAGGGTGCAGTAAATGATCTCATTCTACTGTGGGAGAATTTGATATCCTCATTTTTACCACCATGGGCTACAATGACTCCACATCCTGCTGGAAACCCCAAAGGAGGGGTCTGCAGCCTTGTGCCCATTAAGGCTCTGCTGCAGATGAACCACTTGCCTCTGCATTGCGGGCTGGATTAATTGTTCGTTCTCGCCTTCAGCACTGATCTACAGGGAAGTATAACTCTGGCATCGCATAAGGATGGTTTTCTCCTCCATATTAAGTCATTCTCTTGGGTGAGGTTAGGAGATCAGATTGGAATCAGTCCCTGGTCTCATAAATCCATCATACTTAGCAGTTGCAGCTCAAGGGTTTTGACAAGGTCTTTAGAGATGAACAAGAGCTAGTCTGGAACCAAGCAGTGATGACTTACTACCAAGATATTTCAGTTGAAGCCTGATTAGATTGGAAATGCAGTGAGTTCAGTAGCCATCAATGTATTGAGTATAGGTTGGATAAAGAAGAGTAAAGCTAAAGTGTACCATGTGTCTTGGTGGCAGAATTTCAGAAGTATATTCATGGCATTTATTGTTTGCTATGGCCCTCACCCAATCTCCACACACAAAATTGTTTTATAACATGACAATAGCTTTTTTTTTTTTTTTCAGTGCAGGATGCTTAGGAAGGAGGAAATGTTTTAAATTTAAAAGTCATTTTTTAAAGCTACTCTTCAGACTATAATAAGAGCAAATCTGAAATTTCTATCAGTTGTGACATGATGCTCTTCCAAAAGCAGCAGTAATATACCAAATAACTGAACCACATGAAAGTAATCATGTCTTCCCTGTAGCCTACTAATACTTTTTCTACTGATAGGAGGTCAATTTTCTCTTCTATGGTATGTGTACATACTGTTAGCTCTAACACTGATTGCTAAGTAGTTAACAATGAATTGATTTCAGTTTAACTAAGGGTACTTCAGGAAAGCAATGATCTGCATGAGAAAAATGTTCATTACATTGAATGCTAGACACTCACATGGATTAGCAGCAAGCTTTTCCTTCTGATGTTAAGTAAATCATATAGATTGAAAAAAGACCTTTTTCTCACCGCATTGAATATACTGTCATTCTATGATGGTACGTCAGAAAGTTTGTGGAAAAATGAAATTAAAAGACAGGTTATTTTGTTGTAAAAACAAATGGAAATGCATACATAGATTTTTCATGATAGATGTTTTCTGTGAATTTGTTGAAGACTTCTTGAAGTTGATATCTATTTTCAAATTTTAAAATAATCTTGCAGAATTAATCCTTCATAAGAAAGCAAAGTTACTTAAGGGAGAGCATGAATTAGGTAATTTAGAACTGATGAAAGATATTTCCAAGTGGATTCTTAAATTTTTATACCATTCATTAATAGCTTTGTCTACCCTCTCTGCTTGTTAATTTTATGTTTGACACATATGTCTTCACTTAAGTAGTTGCTTCTCTACAGTTTCCAGTTATATGTGTGTGTTGGTAACCATCACATTCACCCTTTAAACTGCTTTTATTGCATTGAAAGTTTTTAAAAGATTCAGTACTTGTGATTTTCTAACACCATTTTCTATCTAGGTTGTTGAATATTATAAGTTTGTGCTTAAGTTTTTTAGGTTTATTATTTTAGGCATATCATATGTTATCTGGTCCATGAGAAAGTTGAGTGTTAAATATATCAACATATAATTTGATCCTCAAATGTTAGAATATGGAATTTACCCTTATGTTTCAATATAGTACTGCTTATCCAACTGAATGCTAGAATGTTGGTTGAATCAATTCCCCCAATACATCCTCCCTCCACCCCTGAGTGACTGATGCAATTAAGGAACATACTAATCCAGGATCAAAAAAGGTGCAGATGAAACTGTGCTTTACTAGATTTTTTTAAACAAAATTTATCATTTTATGACAAGTACAGTGAAATAATATATAGTCATGTTTAGAGACCAAAAATACTTGATGCTTATAGTTTTTAATATGTTAGAGTAAAAGTAAAGATATTTCCTTTAAGTAAATCTGAGTGAAGCTGTGAATCTTTACCAGAGGTCTAAATGATTGACATACTTCTGTGGTGCTTTGTGAATTTGCTAAGTAGAACTGTGACCTGATTTCCTCTCTATCTCACAAGTGGGCTATGGACAGTGATTTCTTTTTGCAAAAGTTGAATGGATGTGACAGGGATTTCATGCAGCTGAAGTTTTCTTACAAAGACTAGTACATGTTTTAACCATAGAAGTGATGCACTAGTTAAGCTAATGACAGATTTCTTTAGTTCACAAATTCTTTTATTTGCTTTCGAACAGTATTGGCCTCTTATCCTAATATATTTGAATATTTTTCAAAGTTAAAATTATATATGTGTGAATATGTGTGTGCGTGCATGTGTGTGTGTGTAGGAGAGAGAGGGAGAGAGAGAGAGACAGACAGAGAGAATGAACTTTCATTTGCTGGTTCACTCCCTTCATGCTTGGAATGACCAGAGCTGGGCCAGGACCAGGGCCAGGAAATACAAACTCATTACAGGTCTCCCATGCAGGTAGCAGGAACCCAATTTCTTGAGCCATCACCACTGCATTCCAGAGTTTGCATTGGCAAAAAGTTGCAGTTGGAGCCAGGAATTCAACACAGGCAATATGAAGTGGGACAAGGATGTCTTTTTTTATATATACACAAAAAATTTTATTTTTTTATTTGAGAGGCAAAGTTATAGACAGGCAGAGGGAGAGACACAGAGAAAGGTCTTTCATCTGCTGGTTCACTCCCTGAATGGCTGCAATGGCTAGAGGTGAGCTGATCTGGAGCCAGGAGCCAGGAGCTTCTACTGGCTCTCTCAGGCAAGGGCAGGGACTCAAAGACTTGGGCCATCTTCTACTGCTTTCCCAGGCCATAAGCAGAGAGCTAGATTGGAGGTGGAGCAACCAGGACTCGAATGGGTGCCCAAATGGGATACTGGCACCACAGGCAGAGGCTTAGCCTACTAAGCCACAGTACCAGCCCCAGGGACATGGGTGTCTTAAATTCTGGGCTAAATGCCCACTACTTTTTAAGTTTTAAAGAAATGATAAATATAAAAAGTTGATTGTATGCTCTTTTACATTTTGTTGTGTAAGAGGAGGAATTCTTGACATTTGTTTAAACAAAATAGAATTGTGTTTCCTACTTAACAAATTGCATTAATAGAAGCTAAAAAGAATTTGCAGAAAATGCCTGTAGCATTAACTTGATATGGGGATTATGTCAAATTGAAATAGCTATCTGAAAATTTGGAGTGTTCTATTTGAACATGACATTTTCAGATTCTTCCCACCCCTTTCACAGTTTCTTCAAATTACTTCGAATGGCTAATGTGCATTAAAACCAGTTTTTAGTGAATTAAAAACAGAATCTGAGGGGTTTTGTTAGTGTTAATTTACAATCTCCTGTTCTTTCAAATGTGTTTTGTAGAATGTTCAGTGCATGTCAGTGCAAATTCTTGAATGATATTTTGCAAGGCTTTATAAAATTTGTCAGGAGAGCAGCCTTGAACCTTGATTTAAAAGCAGAACACACACTAGTGTCTTCTATTTAAAAGACCTTCCTTGCTAAGATGCTACTCTCCCTTTGACCTTATCCTAGGGTATTATTATTTAGGTAGTAGTGGAAAACTGAGCCCTTTTCTTCAAGATGCAGTTTTTTGAGGTTTCTTTAACCTTGAAATAAAGTAAGAAGCCTCATATTTGGTGAAGTGGCACAAGTTCATCTAGGCACAAAAGAGTCAAGAATTTTATGATTATATTCTAGTTTCCAGAAAGTTAGCCTCTTCACTTTCTCATATGCTTCTAAGATCATCTACTGAAACATGTACCAAATGTCAAATGTCCCAGGAAAGTACTTTTCCTAAACTTGAAAAAAGGTTGAAGAGCTATCCTTAATTAATGATTATAAAAGAAATTACAGACATTTATCCCACTGACATTATCTAATGTGCATGATCCAAGGAGTGTTAAAACCAAAACAAAGGGAAGTTGAAGTCTACTTTCTTAATTAGCCTTGCATTGTTGAGTTGTGGAAGGGTGGTCATGCTGCAGAATGTTATTACTACATTTGTCCCATTTCTTTTTGTTACTAAAGTTATTTTTTCCTTTAGGAATTTCTAAATTAGAATAGCAGATCAAAAGTAATAGTTTGTGTCTCTCTAGCTTGCTGATTTGAGAATTACTGTATACAACATAGTTTTTAGAATGAAGTTAATATTAACCATCTGCTAATTTAAGAAATAAATTATGTTTCCTTTTATCTCAGCCCCGAGAGCATGGGACTTCTTGACCCAGCAACCAGTGATGGACGAGTTATTTTCTTCTTACCCTGGCAAAAGATGACTATTGCTGGCACAACTGATACTCCAACTGATATCACATCCCATCCTATTCCTTCGGAAGAAGATATTAACTTCATTTTGAATGAAGTGCGTAACTACCTGAGTTGTGATGTGGAAGGTAACTGAAGCTTTCCTTTAAGTCAATAGGCTCTCTTAGATTCCCCCATCCATTCCAGCTTTCACTGGGAAATTGCCACATCTCCTTCTGACCCATCTGGTCTAATGTAACAGGTGCTGCCTACTTCTAGAACATGTATGAAGGCCAAATTATAGCACAGTGGAAAGGAACTGCCTTTTCTTTTCTGCTTCCTATATTCACATGAAACTCATGCAGCCCTTTTCTAATGGCAAGATTGGAATGCCACATGGGAGCTCTGAACACTCATGGGATTCCTAAATAGCAGGAAATGTCTCCAGCATTGCTGAATTTCTACTACTTGGGAGGACCTGACTCACAGACACAAGTTATCCATAGGCTGTTTAATGATAGAGTTACATAGTCTAAGAAGCTTAATGATCTGGGCCTTGGTATGTGTTGTCTTGGTTTAACAAAATACCCGAGACTGTTTTTGTTAAGAAAAGAGATCTATTTATCTCACAGTTTTAGTAGCTGAAAGTCCAAGATTGGCAGCCCCCATCTATTTGGCCTTTAATGAGAACCTTCTGGGTATATCACTATATGGCAGATGACATCACATGATGAGAGTATGGGGAGAGGAGAGAGAGAACAGAGGAGAAAGGAGGGAGGGAGGGCGGGAGAGGGAGAGAGAAAGAGAGAAAGTGAGTGAAGGAGAGATGAACCAAGAGACTGGGGAGCAGGGCCAGTCTCACTCTTATGACTGCTTTCACTCTTGGGAACTAATCCACTCCAAGAGACCAGCATTAAACCCTGTAGAAGGGTGGCTGTGACCCACTCACCTCCACTCCCCCACCTCTTAAGGTCTTAACACTTTTCAGTACCCTTAAATTGGGGACCACAACTTTCAGCTAAGAACCTCCCTACCAAAAATGCTCCTTGGATGTCACTTCATTGACCTCAGGAAAAATCCAAGTGTCTCATATGACATAGAAGTCTTTTCACAACTTGGCTTTGCAGGTTTACGTTAATCTACTCTCTTTCCATGCGTGGGATTTCTAGTCATATTGTATTACTTATTATTTCCAAATAAGGTGACACAGTCTTCTTTTTTAAGTTGAAGGTTTGCTCTGTGATGTCTTCATCCAAATTTCTAGCGTTGGCAAAATATTTATACTTCAGAAGCCATCTATCCTTTTGTCCCATGGTACATTGGTCATGCTTTAGTATATCACAACATTGTATTATTAGTATTAGTCTACAATGTGTTCTCACTTAGGACTCCTTGAGGGTAAGGATGCTTTGCTCTGCTGCAAGGCTTGTTTGTAATTAGTAGGCTATTCATGTTTGTTTTGAATTAACATAAGCTAGTTACTGATGCTTTCATGGTTTTTTTATACTGCTAGCAATTTGATGATCTTTCTGTAATAAGGTAGACACATATAAGATGTTTGGAAATTAATTTTCATGTATTTATAACAGGAATCTTACAATAGCCAATGAAGTTCATGCAAAGATAATATTATAGTCTAGATGCAACTCACTAGCACCTATGAGTCCTTTATCCCTAAAGAATTTTTTAAATAGTGTGATCACATATTTACAAGTAAAACCAACAAACTACTTTAAAAATTTGTTATGGTGACTTTCATAGTTTAATTGATTAATCACTTTTACAGAGTTCCAGTTGCTTCATATATAAATTGAATATATATAATTGAATAAGTCTGTTAAATACATACAATTAAAATCTACATGGCTAATGTTTATAATCATACATGTACACACATGTTCACATGGTTATTTGGGAAATACTCATGCCTTACTTAACATGTATATTTAAATGCCAACACAGCATTGCAATTTTTGCTTGGTACTCTTTTTTCCTTTTGAAATTTGGGAGCTTCAACATATGGGTATAATTTGTATTAATACAGCATTATAATTAAAATGTATTTATTCTTGCTAATCAGTGCTGCTTCATTTCATATTTACCTGGGTATACTAAGTGTTAAAAATGAGTTTATATCCAAGCCTTAAGATCAGAAAGTTATATTGTTGGAGCAAGAGATAAAATTAATTTGGGAGCGCAGAGCTCTGTGTTGACAGTTTTTAAAATCTTAAAGTTCAATTGCAGTGAGGATGAGAAATCTAACTGCTTATACAGCTCAAAGGCTAGATGTGCTGGAAGCAGGTGTAGGTTTTTAGAAGGCTGCTGTGCCCATATTGTAGGTGGGGATTTCCACCAGACAAGTAAGCCATGGGCTCTAATAGAGACTGGATCTCTTCTATTCTTTTATAAGTAGATATAAGACTTGCTAACACCTGGTAGGTCATGAAAATCTATTCAGTTAACACAACTTGATAGAGAACTGGCTGGCAAAAATAACACAGTTATTGTTAATTCTGATGTTTGGTAAAAGTGGTTGAAATTAGTATCTAAATTACTATCAGTGAGAAATTATTATCAGGCTATTATCCTGATGATGTAGGAATATCTTTTTTTATTTTTAAATATTTATTTATTTCAAAGGCAGAGGGAGGGAGAGAGAGAGAGAAAGAGAGAGAAACCTTCCATCAGCTTGTTCACTCCCCAGATGGCTGCAATGGCCAGGGTTGGGCCAGACCAAAGCTAGGAGCCAGGAACTCTATCCTGAGTTTCCCATGAAAATACTTGAGCTATCATTTGCTGCTTCCCAGGCACATTAGCAGGGAGCTGGATTGGAAGCAGAGTAGCCAGGACTTGAATTGGCACTCAGTATGGGATGCATGTCCCAAGTGGCGGCGTAACACATTGTGCCATGACATCAGCCTGTACCTGAGATTTTAAAACTAAAATAATCAGAATCACCCATTTTAGCAGCCTGAGGGCACACGTCTTCAAATATGGCCACTTTTAATTTCCCAGTCATTCAGATAATCACATGCCCTTATTAGTACAAACCACAAAGTCTCCCTCTCTGACCTCCCTGATCCCTGGATTTTTAAAGCTTAGAATATAACTCAGGTTTAGGGCATAGAATGGTCCCAGTGCCTCCTAAAGACAGAGCTGGGCCATCAGTCCACTGTGACCATTACTTCTCACAGCCACGTGAACCAGTTGAAGACTAGTTCTGTGTGGTCCCATGGATGCTTGTCCATTGTGGCTGGATATCCTCACTGGGTTACTGCACAAGTCACAGATGTGCCCTGTCTTGGGTTCCTTCATAGCATTTATCATGGTTCTTATTGTTTGCCTTCTTATTGCTTATATTTGTAGCAGAAAAGGTTCTTCGTAAATATTGCTTAAATTAATGAAGAAATGCGTACATGCATGAATGAATATATGTAGTGTTTCTGAAGCAATGAGACATTAGTTCCAGAGACAGAATCTAGACCTGTTTTTGACTGAGAGAGAAGGAGGAAGGGCTTGTCACTTATGCTTCCACCCACTCCTTTATCCACGGAGTTGCTATCAGTCATGTCATTCTTTCCTTCTGCAGCTGGATACAGTTTCCAGATCCTCAGGACTGCAGTCTAGCCATGTCTTGTAATAAATTGGAGGAGGCAGAAAAAATGGAACTTTTTGATGTCAGAGGATATGGAGAAGATTTCTCACTGTAGCAGTTTGAAAACTTCGGCACACTTCCTACTGAATGGTGGGATCTATATCCCCTGTCTTGAGTCTGGACTCTGAGTGCTTGACCGATAGAACATAGCAGAGATGAAGTACTGGTTTCCTAGAAAAGACCGCTAGAAACTGGCAGTTTCCACTTCCAGGGTCTTTGTAAATTCTCTCTCTCTCTCTCTCTCTCTCTCTCTTAGATTTTATTTATTTATTTGAGGTACAGTTACAGACAGAGAGAGGGAGAAACAAAAAGGTCTTCCATCCACTGGTTCATTCTCTAAATGGCCACAACTACCGGAGCTGAGCTGTTCCAAAGCCAGGACCTTCTGGGTTTCCCATGTGGATGCAGGGGCTTAAGCACATGGACCATCTTCTGCTTCTTTCCCAGGTCTTAAGCAGGGAGCTGAATTGGAAGAGGAGCAGCCAGGACTGAAACCAGTGGCCATGTGGGATGCTGGTGCCACAGACGGTAGCTTAGCTCACTACGCCACAGCACCAGCCCCAAATACTCATTCTTAAGCCTAGCCACTGTGCTGTGATGAAGCCCAAGCTGCTTTGAGACAAGGCCCACTTGGAGAGGCAACCAGCACCAGCTTGCCAGTCTTGGGGAAGCCATCTTAGAAATAAATCTTACACTCTCAGTGGAGATAGCCCAGCTGATGTTGTGTAAGCAAAGATGAGCTGTTTCTGCTGAGCCCTGCCCAAACTGCAAGCTCATGAGAAAATAAGTGGCTTCTGTTTGATGCCACTAAGTTTAGAAGGCTTTGTTATACAGTAGTAGTAACTGGGCGCTCACATAACTTCAGCCTCAGCTCCCCCACCTTGGCTCTGTCTTCAAGATCAAACTGTGTTTCTTTCTCTGCCGGGTTCCCTTGTGGGCCTACAGTGTTAAGAAGCAGTTTACATCCTATGCCATCTATGGAATGGGAGAACCTCTTCTGCTCCTTGTATCCATCGTCCCTTAGGAGGATTGCTTAGCCTGTGGCACCACCACCTATCTGGCCTGTCAAGCAGGCCATGCTGAATTCTTGCACATTTTGTGATAGATTGTAGTCTTTGAGCTTAAGAATGAAATACAGGTAGGTTTTTTTGTTTGTTTTAAGATTTATCTATTTATTCGAAAGGTGAAGTTACAGAGAGAGAGAGACAGAGAGAGAAACAGATCTTCCATCTACTGGTTCACTCCTCAAATGGCCACAACAGCTGAGGCTGGACCAGGCTAAAGCCAGGAGCTAGGAACTCCCATCTCAGTCTCCCATATGGGTGACAGAGACCCAAGCCCCTGGGCTATCCGCTGCTGCCCTCCCAGGCACGTTAGCAGGAAGCTGGATTGGAAGTAGAGCAGCCAGGACTGGAACCTGTGCTCATCCCTATTTCTGTTAACACTTAGAACACTTAGAAGTGGACGTGCACTTGCCTACCTGAGTTGGTCAGG